ACAGAACTTTTAATTCTCTAACAAGCGTTATTCCACCATCTTTAAATAGGGCTGGAGAAAGGCCATCGGAGCCCGGCATTTTGTGACGTCCCAAGCCTTGGATCTCCTTATGGATTTCCGCCTCAGAAGATGGGTCTGTTGAGACAGATCATGGGACGTGTGCCGGAATAGCTGTGTGATAAGCTGACGCTGGAGGCCAGCTAAACTGTGCTCTGAAGTGCTCCACCCAGCGTGAAAGACGTTACAGTTGGTAGTGAATGGGCGAACCGTCAGCTTCTCAGATAGTTTCGTTTACACCCAAGGCTTTCCTACCGGTGACCCGGATGAGAAGGAACAGCTTACGGGAATTACCCATGGTGACAGCACATTCCATCTCTAACGCGCGTTGAGTCCACCAGATCTCGCGGTCACTGCGTAGGCTTGTATTAAGTTCACGTCTTGTTACAGGTCGCGTTTCATTATGCTCGCTGCCGGTCGCAGTAGACCGACGTGCGTCAAGAAGGCGTAGAGACTCTGCAGAGATCCAGGGTGTCACAGCGCAACGTGTCAGACCACAACTAACTAAACCAGTAGAATGCAGAGCATTCTTGATAAGCGACCAGTGCTGGTTAACGTCATCGGGCGGGGTTGGTACTAGCTTTGCAGCTAGAGCGTTTTGGAAGACAATTGGACAAGCTAGTTTGGGCAGCTTATCACAGTCTAACCATCGTTGTGTCGTGCGATTGGGACATCCACCGAAGCACATGGACACCTTGACGCATACGAATGCGTGGTCGGATTCGAGGGGTGCTTCAGTAAGATCGGCAGTCTTGAATACAGCCCCGCCATTTGTGGCTCATCGCGATGTGGTCGATCTGCATCCGTCTCTGACTCGAGGAGGGCGGGCGCCAAGTGGTGTACCGGCAGTTGGAGCGCCTGAATTTCGTACTGGCGAGGAACAGGCGGTGATCGGAACACAAAGCCAACAGTCGCGCCCCGTTCTCCGGGTGACAGGAATCTAGTCCGAAAAGACCTCCCAAGTGCCCCTCACTCAAGGTCAACCAGCCTACTCTAGCATTCATATCTCCTGCTAAAATCACGATATCAGCCCGACTCGCTTTACGCAAGAGTTCGTGTAGATTGTGGTAAACTTCATCTTTGACTGCATCTGGGCTGTTGGTGCGTACGCCGATACGACAAACAAGTATGGTCTATCGTGGCGACGGCTGCTTACCTTGCACGAATCACTGAGTCTCGCTGCGCACAACCTACTGTCGACAGGGATCCAATCCAAGAGAGCGGCCTCAGCTCTCTCATAGAGAGCTACACCGACGCCAGCAAGACCGGAAGCCGCAGCCTCAGGGTCCCCAGAGAGGCGTAATTGAAACTTCACCGATTGTTTAGATGGGGACATCAGTCGGATAATGGAGCTGGAGTCCTGAATGGAAGTTTCTTGGATGCAACACATCGATGGCTACGGTTTCGAGCGCATGAGCTAAATACGCCTGTTGTCCTATACGCTTCAGAGTACGCACGTTAAATGTGGCCGGTTTGAAAGGAAGTCGAGGGCGGAGAAGGGCTTCAGCTGGTGGAGGATTCGGTGAGACTTGGACAGCAGTCGAGGTAGGACAAGAGCCAACAGCGGCAGGTTTTCTGACCGAGGCACTACTGCTAGTACAATTGTTCGAAGTACCCGAGAGAGATGGAACAGAGTTGGGAGGGTAGAGGTGAGGTGGGGGGGGGGGAGGCTGGGAGAAGGTGTACGGTGTAGAGTCTTTCGATTGTTGTAGATTTAAGGTGCGAAATCATCAGAGCGAGAACGTTCATAGTTGTCTTCGTTGTGGGCTATTGTACTATTCGGTCGCTCAGTTCAGAGTAGGCCTTGTTCGAGGATGTACTCTAGCCTTGGCGTAACCAAGCGCGAACTGCAAGGCAGCAGTGATATTCCAGATGAGCTGGTGACCGGTTTTCGGTTCATTCACCTCTTCTGGAAAATCTTGTCGGGCAAAGAAACTCGACAAGGAGCAATGGCCGTATTTAGTGGCGGGCTACACTCGCCGCGTCACAGCGCTGTCCTTAGATATTTGTGGTGTTTTCTGTGGAGAACTCTTGCCACAAGTTAAACCCACTACATCCTCGAGCGCTGCCGCTGCTCGTCCGTGACCGCTTTTTCGGAGGGTCGAATCCCACCTTATTCTCGGTTAGCCGCGAGATGACGGCCGTTCCCCTATCCGCGACCTGGGGACGCGCTCGGACGATGGTATATCCGATTAATTCAAAACCAGCTCTTCATAACGAAGAGGTTGTTCTAAGTTATCTGCTTTTTTTTAAAAAAGTAATTAAGTTTCATACGTACCTATCACTTTTACAGTATGAATCTGTACTGCTGTGGACAAGCGTCGGCCCCCTCTCCGAACTTCAACAGGTTCCATCGAGTCAGAATGGAAAGCAAACCGTGTTTTGGCCAAAAACCTGCTTTTCCGACAGAATCCAATTTTTGTGAACCGTGGCTACGGTACTGTCACTGAGTGGAATACACCTCAAAGATTTATTTAAGAGGTAGATAATTGGCAGTGTCAAACGAAATCAAAGAAACGTACAGAGCCAATAGATAGAGTAGGTGTCTCACGGCTTGTAGGTTGGGGTCCGAAAGATTCCACAACCGGTTGGTTGGAGACATTGGAGGATATGGTGGATGGTATGCACCTTGTGAAGCAGGGTTCCGTCACCGAGAACACATACAGGTTTTCCATTGACGATCACCGTGTTGTCTGGTTTGCAACATGCTAGAACGAAATTAGGCATGTTCAGCTGTCTGCCTGCAGCAGTTCGACGAGTTATTGTACACAGCTTGTCATCAACAGGCCTATGATAACTCGTTGGTTCATCTAGGCACCGTTTCGTAATTCGTCAAACTATTTGTCCCGCAGGCATTCTTTGAGCACTGATTAATACGCCTTCGCTCCACAATGTAGAACTCGAAGGAAAGGGTAGAACATAGCTCGAGGGCACCCCTAAGTAGCACACTGTCAAACAATGAGTGTTGTACACGAATTCTTGCTCACCGTATATAGCTGTAAATTGGCTCAGTAAAGTGTCGATCATCATTTTGAACGAAATCTGCATATGACTTAAGTGGCACTGGATGTGATAACCTGTAGAAGCAAATTGAGAAATTCTGGAAGTTCTCATATTTACGATCGTCCATTATGCCTTCCAGTATTATTGGTCCGAGACGGCATGAATTGGCGGAATTCGGTGGCTTTCCATTGATCAAAATCATTGGATTCCGGGCACTTTTTCTAAAAGTCGTCAGGTAAACCAGATAGAACTTCATCTAAACAAGAAATTCGTCTGAAGTTTGTAGCACCCGGTCGGGTATTGTTAGCAATAGGTCCTGTTCTTCAGAGCTTCAGCAAACGCTTACACAAACCTAAACATGCCTAGTGCGTGTATCCCAACGGGAGAACATGTATCATATCGATAGACAACAGTTCTATTCACCAACGTGGTTTTCCTCGTCCTGTCATGAGCGGAAACTGTCATCCGTTCGCCGTTCTCATTGGTCAGGTTTTTTTATTACACATTTTTGTGAAAGGAACAGCAGACGCGGTACACCCCATAATCACGAGAACCTGCTGGTCTGTGGTGGAAACCGGCAACCTAAGCCCTGGGACTTGGAGTGGCGAACCACATAAGGCCCTGATAGATTAGGTGTGGTATTGAACTTTCTTACTATCGTGAATACCCACTATCACGCACGGATCATAAGAGCCGTAACCACTGCTACATTTTGTCTGCTTGATTAAGGATCGGCCGGAAGCATCTCAGATGATGCAGCCCAATTCAACGGAACCACTTAGATTCCGGAATCGTAAGCAGTTTCAGTTCAGTATTCGCAACCAGTAACCATTCGTTTTCATGCAGCGGTTCTAGTCGCTGTCTTTTAGCTTCCCATGGGGATAACAGAGCAGAATGGAGATTGGAATCTTGAGAATAAATTCAAGGGAAAGATAAAGAACTCATATAGATTGGGGATTGTCAGAGGATACCACCAGATGCTGAAGCATGTATTTCATTGATGACAGCCGTAAAGAATTCCTTAACTTTATATATAAACAAAGCTGAACATCGTTAATTCTTAATTTCCTTTTTGCTTTGTAGCCGGACAATTACACTCCTTTATGATGACCACAGGCAAACGGGACCGCCATCAGTCTTCTTCCACCGCACCCACTACGGAGTCCGCTGTTATCAATAAAAACGAATCGGTTTGTGGTAGTGTTTCAGTCGGAAAACAAACTAACCAGAATCAAACCCCTTCAACCCCGATCAACGTACTAGACACTGCTCCCGTTCCAAATTTCCCATTCAAACACACATGCACTATCCGGGAATCCCACGGTCGTTCGGTTTTCGGTGTGTCTTTCAATTCTAATAATCGTGGCCGTCCAAACGATCCCTTATTGTTCGCCACCGTTGCTGCTCACTATGTAAGAATGCGTGATCAATATGAGAATTTAGTTTAATTTTAATTTTGTAATGTTACGAGATCATCTTATTACAATGGTAATTGGATGAATTAATGATGCGGGTCCATACATGTTGAACCTTGCAAATATCACCTCTCTATAGAGTTGCAATCTCTGCCCCACTTTTAGTATCATGGATTTGTTATTCCAGTAACCATTGGTTAGACAACCCTCCTCTAATGAGCACTACTTGAATGAAAGCGTCAATGAAACGTTCATAGAACACCTAAATAACTTCCGTAATATCTCCCTTGATGCAAGGACGGACTCAAATAATTTTTCTTACTTTCGAGCTCGCCCTACATTATTTGCGATGACGCTAATCGTTCGTCGAGTCTTAAGTGCATTCAACAAGCCCTTTTGATGACTGTGTAGTCTCTCTTTCTCCGTCACATACAAATATGTTGCTGTTATCGTTATCCCATTCGTGTGTGCCTCAGCACTACTGCTCTTTTTCCACCTTTGGTTAATTGACAAACGTTGACACTTTCATCTTTCTTATCGACAAAAGCCTTCATTCTCCTGGCAGTGAACAGCATATGGAGCTCACTGCCTCGCGAAAACCGTCCTGATGACCAAAGTAGAAGATCGAATTAGTCAAAGTTTTCTCGCACACAAAAATTGACTGAGTAGGAAACAGTTCTCACATGTAAGAAACGCGATGTCCTGCACCCGTAGAAGGTGAATATTGATGAAATTTGCAAACCCCGTGTCTATAGCAGTGTTATCCCACTGATCAACAATGAATAGACGCTGGTTTCGACGAGCGCAGCGAATGAAAATTCTTATATTGAAAATCGGTTCTTACATTCAGTCTAATTATCCGGGAACAGACAATGCACTACACGGTCAAGTTTAATTACACGGACTTCAACGGATGATTACAGTGTTTCGTAGACCTTCATAGCATTCGGGATATCCGGTTGAGTGGAGTGACAAAAGTTTTAAATGATATATATATA